CAACCTTTATCCAAAGCTACTTCCTGGGAATCTCTCCCCAAAGTCCTCATAAGCTAATGTTATATTTTAACCCCCTGAGCAGTTAGTTTCATGTCTGATTGGCTATATGTTGTTTCATTGAACTATTGAACCAATTAGAAGGCAGGGTAGATTTGCACCTTATAAACTAACCAAAGTGTGTGTGTGTGTGCGTGCGTGCGTGCGCACATCTGATGATTCAGTAGTACACATCTGAGTAAGATTCAGCCCAGGAAAGCTCTTGCTATATATAAGCACAAGCTTTAGTGGACTGAAGCTCACCTCCTCAGGTGTGTGCTAATGAACCAATTACTTCCTTCTTTATACTGAATTTCAAGGTTGTCAGCAGAGTAATGAAGCCATCAAAATTGTGGAATACTGTTTTGTTTTGTTTTTAGAGGGTAAAGATGAGTTTAATACTAATGAAAAGCATTTTTGCACAGTGAAGTTCTCTCTCTAGCCACTAAAAACAGCACTACCTGTAATTGCCCTAGCTTCCCCAACTACTCCACTAATATGATTCAGCCCTGACTGCAGAGATGAGAAGTTAGTTTATTCCCCGCACACTACTCTGCCTTTAATCACTCTACTGGTATCATCAACAATGATGCCCCTTGGGGCCAGTTTTAATAATAGCTTTTGTGTTGTTTCCCTTGTTCACATGTCCTTTGATCACATGCCAAAGGCCACAAAATTATTTTATGTGGCCAGATAACTACTTTCAGCCTAAGTGGAGGTGGATTCACACTGTTGACCTAGAGAGCAATTGACTTAGGGCCAAGTATTTAAATGTATTGAAGCATCTAACTCTCACTGAAATCAGGAGAACAAGATATCTACATTCATTTGAAAATCTAAGTACAACAGAAAACAATACAAATGAGAGCATAGCAGGGAAGGTGCAGTGCATAATTAGCTAGTAGTACACACCTGAGAAAGTAAGATTCAGCTCATAATTAGCTAGTCAAATTTGCACAGAATAAGATTGCTAATAATATCTACAAAGAGCAGATAACTCAAGCCATTCTACATCCCAGCTGACTGCTTTTTAATTAGACACTGGAAACCACCAACATATCCCAAAACGTGATAAAAGCAGCTCCCCACAGCCCTATTTCTCACTATTATATAGGCCATCGCAAAGAATAAATTCTTGTTGCTTGAACTGGCTGGGGTATTCAAAGCTGAAAGGTGATGACAAAGGGAGGCAAAACTAATCTATCAAAGCAAAAGTCTTCCATTTAGACACTCTGCTGTTGTGCTTTTTGAAAGCAGCCTCCACAATTCTTTTTTCAACCTTGCTTTTTTTTCTCATTTGCAAATGAGTTTGGCTTTTATCCAAGTGATGAGATCTGGGTGCTTTAAAAAAAAGTTCTAAATAGATGCAAATTTGTGCTCCTTAACAAAAAAAATGAACAGCAGGGTCTGAATTCAAAACTACCAAAATGGCCTATTATTATGCTAATATGCCAGGCCAAACCCCAAACCTGAACACTGAACTCCATTTGAAAGCCTGCTTGGGATCTGAATTCTGCCCCTCAAACTCTGTAGGATCCCTGTTCTTTCCATAGTTGCTCCCCCTATATACACCAAGCTCACTGCAGAAAACCTAGGCCTTTAAAGCACAGTGAAACACTCAGTGCTCACAAAGTACTATCACAGTTGAAGCAAGACAGGAAACAGTAACACGAGCATTAATTTTTGCAGCAGCCATGCACAAATGAGAAGATTATACAGAAATCAAAATCCCCTTTAACTTTAGCTCTGAACTTTGTGCTTTGGGCCTTTCTCAAGCCAAGTTATGTAGCACTAGAAAGTCTGACATTTGTGTCTGGGTGGAAGATGATTTTCTGCGGTGTTCTTTGCAACCAACCCCGCTTCCTTCCTATCACATCTACTCAAAGACCCTTGCCTGCCTATGTCCTTAGACCAGCACAGCTGCAACCAAAAACCCAATCCATATATGGCATTTTGCAGTGGGCCACCTGCTCTGAGGGAGAGAGGCAGTGTTTTCCGGTGAATCATCAGGTAGCAACAACCACTAGAAACACAACCCTCACAGCTTGGTGAGCCAGTAGCCTGCTACAGTTTAACAAAGCCACACACTCTGCTTTGCAAAGCACATGTGCACATACAGAATAAATTCTTCTGTTTGAATTGTCTGGGGTGTACAGAAGCAAATGGTAGCAAACTAAATTTGCTTTTGCTTTATGCATAAGCTCATGTGATTTTTAATTGTTTATTTTTATGAGCAACGGTAGAGACGGCAGGTTGTTTGAAAGATACATTCTAGGTGAACTTATTTCTCATCGTTTAGAAAAAAATAATTATGAGCCATTTTCCTTAGCTACAGAACAGGGACTAGTTTGCACCTTTATGGTTTCTGAAAAGTAGAGCTGAACCTCTCTCAGGTCTAAACCTACAAGTCACATTGAAGCATAATCAAGTGTCCAAAACATTCACGAAATACTGATCTGGAAAAGACTTTTTGTTTTATTCAGTCCCTACTGTGGGAAAGGAGAGAATAGCACAAACAAAACCAAGGCACCAAACAGCCCTGTGCTAATGACTCTCATTCTCTGAGGTAGTTTTTCAAGAGATTGTCCTCTGGGAGGTGTTGTTTCCCACTGTCCATTCACAGGCCAAAGTACCAGAGTTGTTATTTCTATTTAGTCCTCTAAATCAGGGGTTTTCAATCTTTTTTTAACAAGTGTACCCCTTCTGACTCACTTTCAGCTCCTGTACCTCCTTACATATATATATACTTGGGGGTGGGGGAAGATTGAGGTCCCCACAGTGTGGGAGTGGGGCTGGGGCAAGTGCTGCACAGCCAAAGTGGGGCAGGGTGCAGGACAGAGGCATGAGCAGCTCATCCACGGGACATGGGGGGCAGCTCCCACCACTGTGCATGCCTCAGAAGGGCAAGGGAGGCATGTGCCCCCCAGATCTGTGCAAGGCAGGACAGGCCAGTGGTGGGAGAGGGAGTGGGGCTGGGGCAGGGGCTGCCCAGCCAGGATGGGGAGTGGGACTGAGCCATGTGGGCAGGGGTGTGGATCCTGTTGCTAGGCATGCCATCAGGAGGGGATAGAGGGATGTGTGCCAAACAATTTGTGTGGGGCAGGGCAGGGCAGGCTGAGGCCTATTGAACCAATTAGAAGACAGGGCAGAATAGGGCTTTTCCGGGCAGGGACTGGGTTGCGCTGCACTCAGGGCCAATGGTGGCAGTGCTGGGAGTGGGGGTGGTGGGGCTACAGCAAATTCTGGAGCAACTACAACCCACCCCCACAGAGAGGGAGAGAGTGGGGCGGGGGCAGGTGCTGCACAGTTAAGACGGAGCCTGGGACTGAGCCGCACACCCCAGGAGGGCATGGGGGGGCAGGGGTGTGCACAGCCCCAGATCTGTGCATGGGGCAGCCGGGGGCTGGGCTCATCCCAGCGGTGGGGTTGGGCTGTGTTGGGGGTGGGCAGCAGTAGTGCAGGCAGGGTGGGTATGGGAGAGGCTGCAGCAGCAGTGCAGGCAGGGTGGATACGGGAGGGGCTGCAGCCACTCCACAATTTGCTGTAGCCTCTCCACCTCCCTCCCAGCGCCAGTACCCCCTGCCCCGAGCACAGCCCCAGCCCACGCCGCTCCATGTGCAGATCCAAGGGCTTGCACCCCCCCCATTCCCTCCCAGCATGCGCATAGGAGTAATGCTGGGAACAGGGGCTGAATGGAGGGGGAGAGTTCACATGTGGTGGCTGCTACTGCCACCAGCTATTGGCTGAGAACGGCGACCAAATCAGGAGCAAGCTGGGGTGGGGTTAGGGAGGCACCGTGATGTGCTGTGAGGCCAGCAGTGCCCAGTGCACCCTTAAGAAGCAAATATACAGGGGGAGACACTGTCACTGTGCCCCGGACCATACTCCATCCCTGCCCGCCCACGTATACCTTCGCAGACCTAAGTACCCCTGGGGGCATAGGCAATGCGTAGGGAAGGCATGGGGTGGGGGGGCACATGCCTCCTGAGATAGGCCTTTGCCACCCCCCACCCCAAGCCAGCAATGGCCAGGACCCTGGGTTGCCCCCCACCCCTCAAGTCAGCAATCCGCCACTGGTGCCCCCACAAGATCAGGAGGCACCAGTTGCCCATGCCTGGAGAGTACGCATACCCCTGGTTGGCAGTCCCTGCTTTACAACGTATGAATATTGTTTTTAAAAGGTTTTTCACAGAGGATAAAACACTATGTTCTAGTTTTAGGTGCTCTCAAAAGATAGAGATCACTAAAAAGCACACAAAAGTAGAATCAGGATTTAAAAAAAAAACAAGATCAGTAGTAATCAGAATTACGTGATTTTACTTTAAGATTTACCATTAAAAAGCCAGCAATCCCTAGCTTTCTAATTAGAAACAAGTATTTTTTTTTTTTTATTTTTTTTTTATTTTTTTTTTTTATAACCAAGCGGTCTGCAAGATCTTAACATTTTGGCTAAAAAAATAAGCTGAGCTCAGTGTCCCTTTTGGGAACTGATCTCGACTGGAATAGAAAAGTTTAGACTTCATTTTAGTTTTCATTTTGAAGTGAGGGATAGAGAAGTACCCTTGTTAAAAAGGATGTGGGGGAAGGACTTTCCCTTATTCAGTACTTGGATGGAAGACCTTGGATAACTGTGCATGTTAACCAAATTCTTCTGTATGAATGGAATCTCTTAGTACTAGACAAGAAAATAGTTTCTACAAAGTATCTAAAAAAAACTGTGTGTACTACATGATAAATAAACACTGGAGACTGTAGACAGATGGAAAGGGGGGAGGAAGAACTCTTAAGGCAAGCGAAGCACACCTGAAAGTTTATTTGTTCATAAGTTCTGCGCATTACAAATAAGCATAGGGTTAGTTGCTGTGGACAAAAGCTCATTTCATTTTAGGTAGAGCAATAAAACATTAGCCACAGAGATGGATAACTAGAGGGCCCAAATGCTCACACAAAATGCACTTTTTCTATTGCTGGAAGTTAGCATTCAGGTTACAGATCTTTGAGATCTTTCTGGATGCTCCACAGCGTATCTGCACTGCTCCTCAGTTGAGCCACCTCATCATCCTTCAGCTTTTGGTTGACCACACTTGTCAGTCCAGAGGCACTTAACACACAAGGGAGGCTCAGGAAGACTTCATTCTCAATGCCGTACATGCCCTGCCACAAACAAACAGGAAAGAGATGAAACTGGAAGAAGCATGAAATTGTTTCTTTATGCTAGTGGTTCCCAACTTTTCAGACACAAGGCACACCTCAGAATATGCCAGCTCTTAGTTTTCACTTGTTTAAAGGACAATTCTTCTGTTGCAAAACTCCTTCTGAGCTGTTGTGATCTTTGCTACTTATGACAGTATAAATTCCTCTTTGAAATCTCTGGGCACATCCAGATGAACAGGTGAACATGCACTTTGCAGCACCTCAAATGCTTTTGGAGGCACTGCAAAATGCACATGGTACACATGAAAAGGAAAATCCCAGTATTGAAAAAACAAAACAAAACAAAAACAACCCCCCCTTTAAAAGAATATAAATAAATAAATAAATAAATAAACAAACAAACAAAATGATAGTGCACATGGCTGGAACATGTGCCACCCGAAACTAGAACCTGGCTAGCCAGAGCTGTACTCTGGATGCTGGCCAGGCTCCACACACCCAGATCGCCATTGCTGCAGCCCTGGGAGGCTCCTAGGACTAGCAGCCTCCCCTACTGCATTGGGGGCAGTATGTCACATGCCAGAGCATGCGTGTAGTGGTGTTCCCAGGAGACAAGTAGCAGCAGCATAAGTATGTGATACTGCTATTTGTCCCCAGAGAAATGCATGTGCATGCTCATTGGGATGCATCCCCCTGGGTTTATTCTGTGAATCATGTTTTTACACCTAACCGTGCTAACTGCATGGCACCCTGTATAACCCTTGAAAGGATCTTGTATCACCCTGGTTGAGAATCACTGCTTAATACAGTTGTGAACCCAATATAAAAAACTCACAGACTTTAGAGCTGATACCAGTGTGACAAAGTAATAACTGCCTTTAAGGCTGCAGTAAACACTTACAGTAACATAGTTGGCATTCCCTGAGATTAGCTTTGAAAATCTCAACCATTTTATATGTGCATGGCAAGTGGCTTACAAAAGACTCAGATTCAAGGTTTTGGTGCATGGTAGTGACAGAGTGGCCTAGAAATGCGTACAGCCATCCCAGGAGGGCCGGGCCAGTGACAAGAGATGCTGATTGTGCTCCTCTCTCTAACAACAAGTCAGTAAGAAATTATCTTATGGGTCAGAGGTGGAAGTTCAAGTTCTCTGCCCTTTGCACGAGTCTTCCTTGTTTGTGACAGCAATGGATGTTGTGGACGTTGTGTTCAGCAGCACCCTACCAAAGGGGAATTTAACACCAAATGGAATACCACACTGGGTACAAGAAAAATACTCGCTTCACAATTCCTTTGGGGGAGGCATGATAATTCAACTGCTGGATTTCTATGAGCCATGTACAATGCTCCTGCTGGCATTTAAGTTTAGAGTAGCATCATTTTACAAGGCTTCCTCAAATATTTGGCAGATCCAGCAGACTTGCATACATAATGCTGCCACAATAAATTGGGGCAGCTGACTAAGTGTTATCCCTTACCTTTACCATTGTTGACACTGGATGAACCCTGCACAAGTTTTTCATCATGGTTTCAAGTAGATCAGCAACACTAAGGCCAATGGCCCAGTTAGTGTATCCTTTAAGTTTGATCACTTCATAGGCACTAAGAGAAAGTTGCAGAACACACAATTAGGTGGTTTCAAGATGCATTCAAAATAAAAGGCAGTTGCAAGGCAACATAACCTTAAGTGATACAGAGAGGGGGTAATGACTTCCTTTCTAAAGTTGAGAAAGGACAGAGCCAGGAACAGAACATGATTCATAACTTCAATTCCAGTGTTCTGTTCATAGGTTCATGCTGCCTGTCTGCTGTTGCCCACCTCCAGTAATTCCCCATCAATGGGAACCATCTGTGTATGCACAACTCATGAGAAAAGCATGTGCTGACTGTGGCTCTGTAAATGGAATGTGCCTACTTACCAGTTCACATTGAGGCTGCATGCTAAACAAATATACATATACCAGTACTGCTTTGCATTTAGCTCAGTCCTAATATTACAAATAAAAATCATATAAATGAATGTGTATTCAAGATATAGCACAAATTAAGGGAAGAAAGAGAGGGAGAGTATGCCTGAGGATGCACATGCTGTTAAAAGTGGGTAACATTCCACCTCTCTCCTCAATTCACTATACCTTTCAACCACCTGCTTGTGGACTTCTTTCCAGTTCTCACTATCACGGTCAGTACCCATAGCAGGATTCAACTCCTGGAGGGAACCCCCTGCCACATTAACTCCGCTCCAAACAGCCACTGTAACATATTGAGAGAGAGGATGAAAATTTCAGTGACCATTATGCTTCCTCCATTATTGTAGTGAAGGCTTTAACTATAAAACTTGCATTATTTTAAAAAGGAGGATG